AAAGCAACTGATTTATTGGCCTAGAGCAGGTTGTATAATGACCTAAAGCAACTGATTTATTGGCCTAGAGCAGGTTGTATAATGACTTAAAGCAACTGATTTATTTGCCTAGAGCATGTGGTATAATGACTTAAAGCAACTGATTTATTGGCCTAGAGCAGGTTGTATAATGACCTAAAGCAACTGATTTATTTGCAAAGAGCAGGTTGTATAATGACTTAAAGCAACTGATTTATTGGCCTAGAGCAGGTGGTATAATGACTTAAAGCAACTGATTTATTGGCCTAGAGCAGGTTGTATAATGACCTAAAACAACTGATTTATTGGCCAAGAGCAGGTTGTATAATGACTTAAAGCAACTGATTTATTGGCCTAGAGCAGGTTGTCTTATGACCTAAAACAACTGATTTATTGGCCTAGAGCAGGTTGTCTTATGACCTAAAACAACTGATTTATTGGCCTAGAGCAGGTGGTTTAATGACCTAAAGCAACTGATTTATTGGCCTAGAGCAGGTTGTATAATGACCTAAAGCAACTGATTCATTGGCCTAGTGCAGGTTGTATAATGACTTAAAAGAACTGATTTATTGGCCTAGAGCAGGTGGTATAATGACTTAAAGCAACTGATTTATTGGCCTTGAGCAGGTTGTATAATGACCTAAAGCAACTGATTTATTGGCTTAGAACAGGTTGTGTAATGACCTAAAACAACTGATTTATTGGCCAAGAGCAGGTTGTATAATGACTTAAAGCAACTGATTTATTGGCCTAGAGCAGGTTGTCTTATGACCTAAAACAACTGATTTATTGGCCTAGAGCAGGTTGTATAATGACTTAAAGCAACTGATTTATTGGACTAGAGCAGGTGGAATAATGACTTAAAGCAACTGATTTATTGGCCTAGAGCAGGTTGTCTTATGATCTAAAGCAACTGATTTATTGGCCTAGAGCAGGTGGTATAATGACCTAAAGCAACTGATTTATTGGCCTAGAGCAGGTTGTATAATGACCTAAAGCAACTGATTCATTGGCCTAGTGCAGGTTGTATAATGACTTAAAACAACTGATTTATTGGCCTAGAGCAGGTTGTATAATGACCTAAAGCAACTGATTTATTGGCCTAGAGCAGGTGGTATATTTATTTACCTAGAGTGGTATATTGACCTAGAGCAGAATGATGGTATATTGATTGACCTTGAGTGGTTTATCGACCGAGAGCAACTGTCTTTTGACCGAGAGCAACTGTCTATTGACCTAGAGCAAATGGTATATAAATTAACTTTGAGAGTTATATTGACCTAGAGCAGAATATTAACATTGAGCAAATGGTATATGTACATTGCCATAAAGCAAAAACATTAGTGGTATATATTGATCTATAACAAATGATATTTTGATCCGACTTGTGAGCTCATGTTGTGAATGTTTTCATCTATTCATTTGACAAAACTAAAAGAAACAAAATGTTAAAAAGAAAAATAAATTTTAAAAGGGCAAGTAAGAGTTTTTTCAGTAATAAAAAATTGTTGCCATCCCCGGGAAAAAAATTTAAATTCCTATAGGTTTCCCATTCCGGGGAATATTCCAAAATTTATTCCTGTTTCTTTGTAAATAATGTTTACTGTTGTGGTTTTTTCCCAATTTCCAGTTTTAAACCATTTTCTGAATTGAATTTCCTTTTTCACAAAAAATTTGCTAACTCCCTTTTATCTTAAAATTTTCCTTTTAAATTTTTTCCAAAACCTTAATCTCTGTCATTTTTTGGGTCTTGTAAGAGGGGGAATAGATCAGTGTTTTGGTGGGTGTAATTTAATTGAATAGAATTTTATTTGGTATAGGCAGCAAGAGATTTTATGTATGGATTTGACTTACAACAAATAGTCCTTATATGGGTCTGATAAGTATTAAATTATATCCAGAAATTGGGACATACAAGGTCTATAGTAGGGTCACATTATTTCTTACATTAATGTGATTTTAAAATTATTTTGTCTGTTATTTATATAAAGTAAACTGGAACAAAAATGTTGTCATTAAGCTTGAATATAATTTTGATCATTTGATTTTTTCTAAGCTTCTTTGACGAGAAAAGAATAAATGTGGCAGTGAATCTTAAAATAGAAACTTAGCTTGTTAAAGGTATGATGAAGGGAAACAAATGATTTGTGCAATGATTTCAATGAGCGAGCTGCTTGTAAGAACAAGCTAGGTTTTGCTTAAGTCCCCAACCTACATTTGTAGCATCTTCTTTATAAGTCTTTTTTTAAAACTGTCAAATTTTGCTGCGTTTGCCTCATGTCGTGGGAGTTTATTGTTGGAGAACCTTGAACGTAACCAGTACATGATGCCCTAGAAGTAAAACGTTAACAAATTCATTAAGTCTCTAATGAGGAGGCTTAATAGGCTGATACAACCTCTTTGAAGTGTTGCTAAAAAAATCACCATTTGTTCTAATTTTTGGTAAGAAACCATGCAATTCTTCTACTTGGGATAAACTGTTTGAAAATTTTATATTAAATTTTAGTTGTTTTTTTTTCTGCCAGTTTGATTTGAATTACTTTTACCAAGAACCTCAGAAATGTTGATGGTGACAATTTCCTGTTTAATGTATGGCTTAAAGTGTAGATCTGTCTCAGATATTCTGTGCAGAACATTAATGTTCTAAGCTCATTCATTACAGACATTTTAAGAGACAAATATTACCATTGTTTCAATTATTTATTCACAGTTACTGACAGTTTATTTTATTATTGACAAATTATATTAATTTTCATGAACATATTCATGAGTATAAATATAAATTTGGCAAGTGTATTTTGTTGTTCTTTTTAGAAAAAAAAGCATATTATGATTGTATGATAAGATCTTAAAAAAAACAGATGAGAAATGTATGTTGATAAGTATATATACAGAATTCTGTCTTTGCTATACTTCTCTGTCTAGTTTATTATCATACCAAATCTACTTTATGAAAGTATACAAATTTGATTCTTTTGAATATTCTGACATAACATGATTTGTGAAATCATCTTATCAAAGCATTTTGACGATCCAGAGACCAAGGAAACAGCAGACGCTTTGTTAAGCTTCTATGCAATCTTGATTTTTTTGTCTGAAAAGTTGAAGACAGTTTTCTTTCTATTTTTTAGCTCGACTTTTCTATGAAAAGGGGAGCTATCCTACTCGCCCCGGCGTCGGCGTTAGCGTTGGCGTCACATCTTGGTTAAGTTTTTCGTACCACCCCACTTTATTTCAGAAGTATTACAAGTATGGCTTTGAAACTTACCATACTTGTTCACCATCATAACCTCCATCTACAGACAAGAGTCACATAACTCTGTCAAGGTTTTTGACAGAATTATGGCCCTTTTTTTACTTAGAAAGTGTATTGAGCTTGGTTAAGTTTTTTGTACCACCTCACTTTATTTCAAAACCATTGGAGGTATTGCTTTGAAACTGACCATACTTGTTTACCATCACGACCTTTCATCAACAGACAAGAGGACATAACTCTGTCAAGGTTTTTTGACAGAATTATGCCCCTTTTTGACTTAGAAAATACATTGAATATGGGGTAAAAATCCACTTATTGCCTTAACCCTTTGAGATATTGCTTTGAAACTTTTAATGCTATTTCACATCATTACCCCCATCTGTACGCAAGAGAAGGTAACTCTGTCAAGGATTTGTTTTAAAAATTAAGGCCTTTTATCGACTTAGAATCTTGGTTAAGTTTTTAGTACCAGTCCACTTTTTGACTGAACTGTTTGAGATATTAATTTGAAAGTTGGAATACTTGTTTACAATCATGATTCCCAAACATGTCCAGGAGAAGGTAATTCTGTCAAAGATTTTATTTGAATTATGGCCCTTAACTGTCAATGTTTTGTATTATAGGCAAGCACTAAAAAAGTCGAGCGCGCTGTCTTACGGACAGCTCTTGTTTTTTATCTGAACAACTTATTTCTAGGAACTGTATTTGTCATGATAACCAAGAAGTGCAAACACTGAAAACTGTCAGTTGTCTAAGAGAAATTCCAGCACCACTTCAGTATTGTATTAGCTATATAAGTTAGACATATTCAGGCATGGTCAACACTTGTTGTGGCTAATTTCACTCATTGAGTAGGAACATATTTCATTTGTCTCAACATTTTAAACCATGTGGTCTCATCAGTTTTGTTATAACCTGTTACAATGTAAGCTGACTTTACTGTCACTATCTGTATGAAGAGAAGATTTATACAATGTTTTCTTAATTAAAATTAATGTCATTTTTGCTAATTACATCGGTTTTAAGCTCATTCTTTATTGTATAAAGTAAGTTACAAAACAATTGGTGAAAAAAGTTTTCAAATCAAGGATTTCCTAGAACTGGTCTTAAATTGTTGTTTGTTTGTTTGTTTGTAAATGTAAAAAACAATAGTCTCAGATCAAATCATATTTGCATATTGTCATGATGTTGTGTTTTTGCCTCTGTTGTAAATGAGGGACGTTAAGACTTTAATATGGTACAGGTCAGATGTTTTCTTCATTAGTTTCTCAATTATTTGAAGAAAGGGAGAGCTTTAAATTGTTGTTGGCATCACTATCACACTTTGGTAAAGTTTTTGCTTGCAAGTTAGTATCTCAAAAACTACAGTAGGGAATGAGTAGAAACTTAACACACTTGTTGCAAGTACCATAACTCTGAGTTACCTTTTACATGCCCATTTGGAACTGTCAACCACTGAGAATAGTCAAGCCTGCTGTCTTACACACAGTTCTTGTTTTTAGGAGGAGTTATTGAAACTTTATTTGTTTCTTTTTATCATGAGTATTGTGACATTCTCATTTTAAGGTTGGATGGCCAAGTGTGTTCGAATACAACATTTAAAAGTAATCAAAATCAGTAATACAGTAATTTTATGATGATAAATTAATGCATGTGATTGTCAGAAAAATTGAAGTATAAAATTATATTCTGTATTATGTATAGATGTATCTCTTAACATTTATAGATGCTGTTGTGGGCGCCCAGAGAGTTGGCAAGGACATATACCCCAGGCCCTTGGAGTACCACTTGAGGAGAGGTGGCATCCCTACAGACATACAGAGGCCAAACCCACTGATGCTTATGGAGTTCTAGAATTTCAAGGTGCACCCCATCCTAGTAAAGCACAGGTGACTATTGAAAGTTATATCATGTTGTGGTTTTTCAATTATTTTTTCGGTCCCGCCTCTGTGTTCGAGTGGTTAGAGTCGATGACTTCTAATCCAGTTACCTCTCTGGCGTTGGTTCGCTCCCCGGGAGATGCTTTGGTAATTTAGCGCTGAGGAAGGTAGTCTAGTACTGGTGTAACTCTCAAGGAACGATGATTAGGAAACTACCCTCCTATATGACTGAAATACTGTTGGGAAAAGGCGTAAAATGAAACAAACAAACAAAATTTATTTTTTCACCTTCATTTAGCAGACTATCATGGACCTGAGGCTAAGGTCAATGACTAAAACATCAAGACTGCAACATTTTGAGTTTAAATCCTGCATATAAAGGGTCATTGTATATTTTCATGTGAGGAAGCAATCCTGCTTATGAAAGATTGGTAATTATACTAGGGTACTGGCTTGTGAATGAAATGATTTATTGAAGGTCACCTACAAGGTTTTTCAGCTGAAAATTTTTTTCTAGCACCTTTAGAGTGCAAGTGTTTCTTAAAACACTACCTCAGGGGAAATAAGCTATTTTAGAGCTGATTAAAAATTTCTTCTCATTCTCATCCCATTCAGAATAAATTTTATAGATTTCTATAATGTTACTCACCTTTTATGTAAATATTTAGTCTACAGAAATCCGTATAATTAAGCTGTAAAACAATGTTTTATTACTAAAAATGGAGATTAGCTATATGATTGGCATATTTTACTGCAGGAATGAAATAGCAATTTGAAAGTTTCTTTCTGGAACTGTCACAATTATTATAGACATAGCATATACACTATCTCTGTAATTATTGAGTCATTTTTAGTAGATTTCTCGACATTATAAAGCCTTTTTTAAGAATTACATATTATATATTTGTTTCATAGCTTGCTAGAGATTGAAGTGATCAGCCTATGATCACTTGGCATTGTTTGAATGGTTAGAATAAATTTTGTAGTTGCCAGCAGACTAAGGGTTAAAATATAGAAACAGGGATGTGACATTCATCTTTACATTTCCAGTATGTCAGACTCAGTAGCTATGATTCAAAAGCAGACCAGGTCCTACAGTTGTTACAGAATCATTGGGGCTTAGACCTGCCTAAGTTGCTGATAACAGTACATGGTGGCATTTTGAACTTTGACCTACAACCAAAGCTGAAGCGTGTGTTCAGGAAGGGGCTTTTAAAGGCAGCAAAAACCACAGGGGCTTGGATTGTCACTGGTGGAACAAATACAGGTATAGTGTTATCATGATTTATTTCATGCTTTCCAGTGTTTTATTGTAATACATCAGATGATTATATTCTGATAAACCACTAGTGAAATTTATAAAATATAATTTTCACTGTAGCCGGACTTTATCTGAATGCGGATGAAAAGAAAATCATAACTAAATGGAATAACAGGCAGAAATAAATGCCGTCATACGTAAATTTTGCTTCTTTAGGAAAAGAAAGTCGATGTCACCATACATCATGTTAAAAATGTAACAAAATTAGAGAAATTTAACTGAACTATATTTCACAATTGATGATGTGACGTCATGATGTGATGACGTCACAAAGGCGAATGCGCGACGTTACGTGGCAAAATCAGTAAACTAAAAATCACTTAAAAAGCATGAAATAAAAAGAAAATTTATTTGTTTTACATATAAGATTGAAATACATCTCATTCGTGAACACCAGCTATTATATCTTCACTTGTGGCTACGCCACTCGTGAAAATATTGCATCTGGTGTTCACTCAGTGAAATTATATTTCAATCTTACATGCAAAACAAACAAATATCCTCTATATAAACATGTGTATAATTATCTCATTAGTGGGTAATTTTGCATGGTGGAAATATTCGAGATTTTGTAATTTTAATCTAATTATAATCATATTTTCATTTTGGGTGATTTTGCAAAATAAAAAGGACTATTTTTGAAAAACAGGATGCTCAGGAAATGGTCTGAAAATATGCATTCAAATAATTGGTTCATACATACATCAACTGGTACACAAATCCCACAAGAAATATTTCCAATCCCGACATGTCAAAAAAACCTCAGTGGAGTCCCTTTTAATTGATAATGATAAAGAACAACAGCAACAAAAAATGTTTATTGTCATCATTGTCTTCTCAAGTTCTGAAAAAAATCTGACCATACTGTAAGTTCTTTAATTTTTGTATTTTTTGTCTTGAAACCTTAAAATATTTGATATTAATGGACAGCAGGATAAATTCAGCATGTTTAAGATTAATACAACAACTGATTGTTTAACCTCGCACTAAAAATAACTCAATAATAACTCACTGTCTGACTTTTTGTAACAAACCAAATGAATTGTATGTATCAATAGTAGTTATTGTATAATGTATTTGTTGTATAGTTTGATGAAAGACCTGTTTATATTACTTACATGGTACAGTATTTAGTTTGTAGTTTGATTGTGTTGGAAGCTAGAAGCTTGTTTACAAACTCTCAAATCTGTTCCTGGAACCAACCAGTGCTAAGTGATGAGTGTAATGGCTTGCCTCTGATGGGGTTTGAACCCACCCAATACTTAGATAACTAGTCTGACATGTTGAACTATTTGCTACGCCCACCGCAGTATTTGATTCCTCAGTAAAACATTGGTAATCAAACTATATTAACAATGGTGGATGGCTTATTTATGAAATAATCCATACAGCTTGTATTGTGTTCTGTAGTTCAGTAACCTGGGGAGTTCTTGTCACAACTGGTCAGATATATGTTACTATACAAACGTCCAGGCCAGCCTGCATAATTATTGTCTCTCTTACTTAACAACTTTAAAGGCTGTTAAACTTTCAAATTAAAAAAAATAGAATTCTTAAAACAAGAAAAATGGTTATATCAAAAAAGTAATTTTGTATAAAGTTTGGGGGGGGGGGGGGCATGGAGGAGGAAAATCAATATTTCCTTTAATGTTTTTGGTCTAACATATATAATGAGTAGATCTGGAAACTATAATGATAATTATAAGATTTTTTATGTGTGAATTTGTTGTGTTGTATTTGTTTTCTGTCTTACATCTGGGGTGAAAGAAGTACATTATACATTAATATAATTATTATGTTAAAAAATTAACTAATTGTGGTTTACAGTGACAATTTTTGTAATTTATTGTTCTTATTTTTTTGACTGCTAACAGTGATTGATGAGAATTTTTATGACTCTGGTTATACTGACTTACAACCAGTCCAAGGTACAATTAATTATCTCCCTTTAAATATTCATCTCTATTAGCTCCCTTTGGTTGTCAGGCATTTTGTCATTTTTTTACAGACCTGGGACATGCAATGTATAATGGTTATATTTATAGAATTTATTTATTTTATATAATTGGGAAGCTGCAGTAAAGAAATTATAAGCACACATGGTTTATTTTTTCTCCTCCTTCATAAAGCCATGAAAACCTAACTTTATAGCTTAGCAGAGCATAAAATGTTCAGGTGAACTATTTTGATCACATTCTGTCATATCATGTTCACATGAGCTATTTTGATCACATTCTGTCATATCATGTTCAGGTGAACTATTTTGATCACATTCTGTCATAACATGTTCAGGTGAGCTATTTTGATCACATTCTGTCATTATGTGTTCAGGTAAGCTATTTTGATCACATATTGTCATAATAAGTTCAGGTGAACTATTTTGATCACATTCTGTCATAACATGTTCAGGTGAACTATTTTGATCACATTCTGTCATTATGTGTTCAGGTAAGCTATTTTGATCACATATTGTCATAATAAGTTCAGGTGAGCTATTTTCATCACATGTTTTCATCACATACTGTTGTGACCTGATCATTTGAACTATTTATGTTCAGATGAACTATTTTGATCACAGATACTGCCTTAATATGTTCAGGTGATCTGTTTTGATCACACACTGTCCATCAGCCTGTACTCACAAATTAATACCTTTAAGACTATTGGAAGAAGTTCTTAATAAGTAAGGATAAGACATTGTACAACAAAGTTTTAAATGACACAGAATAGATTAAATACACTTTTGGTAATCAATTGATCAAAGCATTACAGTTAAATTTTCAAGTTATCTCTCTTGTTTTGTGTGATATGTATGTTTGTTTGGTAGCGACTGAATCTATCTATGTGACCAGTGCAGACCAAGGTAAGCTGGTCATCTGTTCATGGTCTGCACTGTTAACTACAGGCTCAGTACATATTTTGAAATTTCCCCCTAAATAATGATAAATGATTCTTGTTGAGATAGAAATATAGGCAATTGAAGTTCATTGAAGATATTTAAAATTGTAAGGGTTAATGCACTAGATGCACTATTCTTAAAACTCTGCTGAGTTAAACCATAAGAAGATGGTACAGTTTTGACATGTTTAGTGGTATATATTTCTCCAGATACAGCTTTATACTCTATAACCTCACATTGTGTGCACATCTGAAACTAATGTTATAAAGTGATATATTGCATTCTACAAATAGGAATTCATTTATATTCATTTTCAAATTTTTTTCAGTCACTTAGAATTGATTTCTCACCATAATCTATAGTAAGAAGAAGAGATGGAAGCGTAAATAAAATATTTGAGCCGCGTCATGACAAAATCAATATAATGGGTTTGCGACCAGCATGGATCCAGACCAGCCTGCGCATCCGCGCAGTCTGATCAGGATCCATGCTGTTCGCTTACAACTATAACAAGTAGAGAAACTGATAGCGAACAGCATGGATCCTGATCAGACTGCGCGGATGCGCAGGCTGGTCTGGATCCATGCTGGTCGCAAACCCATTTTGTTGGTTTTGTCATGGCGCGGCTCAAATTTATTGAATTATTGTACTTAAAATAAAGTTGTCCATGTATATTAAGACAAGTGGTTTATTTTGTGACTGTATACTTTAAACATTTATTTAAAGAAATAATTTGTAATGTTTTTGTTTTGTCTTGTATTTTATATTACTTATATAAGCTGCTTTAGCCTATGTCCAGATTTGCAGGCTGGCCTGGCTCTATACTAGGGGCAAAGGCTCAGTTTATATAAGAATCCAGAAGGAAAGATTTATTGATATTTTTATTCTGTTTAATTAGTTATTCACTTTTAACCGTTAAATGTATACAATAAAAATGACATTTTATATAATTTAAAAAAAAATATAGTATAGAAAGATGATAAATTGTCTTGGTCAACACATAATTATGTGTAGATTTTTATGCTCCCCGAAAAAATTTCGGGGGAGCATATAGTCGCCGCCTTGTCCGTCCGTCCGTCTTTCCGTCCGTCCGTCTGTCCCCTTTTCTTGTCCGGGACATAACTTTGAAACAACAAGAGGTATCAACATGAAACTTTGTAGGTAGATAGATCTCATTGAGTAGGTGTGCAGTGCACAAGAACCGTAACTCTGCCTTGCCTAATTTTTGAATTATCCCCCTTTGTTTATTTTACACTTTTGAACTTTGTCCGGGACATAACTCTAAAAGTATAAAAAGGCATCAACATTGAAAACTTTGTAGGTAGATAGATCTCATTGAGTAGGTGTGCAGTGCACAAGAACCGTAACTCTGCCTTGGCCTAATTTTTGAATTATTCCCCTTTGTTTATTTTACACTTTGAACTTTGTCCGGGACATAACTCTAAAGTATAAGAGGTATCAAAGCATGAAACTTGTAGGTAGATAGATCTCATTGAGTAAGTGTGGCAGTGCACAAGAACCGTAACTCTGCCTTGCCTAATTTTTTGAATTATCCCCCTTTGTTTATTTTACACTTTGAACTTTGTCCGGGACATAACTCTAAAAGTATAAGAGGTATCAAACATGGAAACTTTGTAGGTAGATAGATTCTCATTGAGTAGGTGTGCAGTGCACAAGAATCGTAACTCTGCCTTGCCTAATTTTTGAATTACCCCCCTTTGTTTATATTTACAATTTGAAATTTGTCCGGGACAAAACTCTAAAAGTATAAGAGGTATCAACATGAAACTTTGTAGATAGATAGATCTCATTGAGTAGGTGTGCAGTGCAAAAGAACCGTAACTCTGCCTTGCCTAATTTTTGAATTATCCCCCTTTGTTTATTTTACACTTTGAACTTTGTCCGGGACATAACTCTAAAAGTATAAGAGGTATCAACATGAAACTTTGTAGTTAGATAGATCTCATTGAGTAGGTGTGCAGTGCACAAGAACCGTTACTCTGCCTTGCCTAATTTTTGAATTATTCCCCTTTGTTTATTTTACACT